TACTTTCAGAATCTTCTGTAGAAAGTATGCTTTGAAAAACTCTTCATACAAAATTCTTCTTTGCTTCAGATGCTTCTGACTTGCTTCAGATTCTTCTGGAGCTTCTGCTTCAGATCCTTCTGGAGCTTCTGCTTCAGAATCTTCTGGAGGCTACGCTCAGGATCTTCTGTTGGCAGCAATCAGAATCTTCTAATGAATGCATCTGCCGCTTCAGAGTCTAGCTAATTTCTTGTGCTCAATTCTAATTTTCTTCTGGAGTGTTAATTCCTTTACTATCTGTAGTAGAAATTCTCAAGCAAATTTTAGAGTATATAATTCTTAAATACAAAATTTCATAATAGTTATCATCAAAACATAGAGATATTATTAAGAACCAATCTGTGTTCTAACAAAAAGTGGCTAATCCAAAGGAAACGCAAACCTTAAAGACAAATAAGTAGTGGCAGAAATCGCATGGTTGTGTTATATTTTTAATATTCATTTATTGCAAAAGAAAGACATGGCATGCAAGTTGTTATATAACTATTGAAATAAATAAAGAATTTATCACCAAATTGTTTTTCCTCTTTATCATGAAAGGTAGAGACGAGTTTGGGATACATCTAGAAGGATCGAAGCCCAGATCACATAGACTCAGGGAGCTATCATAAACACTAAAAATGTATGACTAAAATGATTAAAACCCTACGTCACGAGCACAACAAACATGCCCTAAAATGGTAAATAACTGACCTGACATCTCTTGATAGCTAACTAGTCCAAAGGCAATGGTAGGTCTTTAAATACATTAGCTTTGAATCAGATAAAAATAAAAATAAAAATGATTCAAATAAAAATAAACAAAATAATATATATATATATATATATATATATATATATATATATATATATATATATATATATATATATATATATATATATATATATATATATATATATATATATATATATATATATATATATATATATATATATATATATATATATATATATATATATATATATATATATATATATATATATATATATATATATATATATATATATATATATATATATATATATTATTTACAGGTGAAATCCATATACACCATGTTTACATCCACCGACCTCTAATAAAAAAACTACCCATCCAGAGGAACCACTTGTCTGTCTTTAATTATCTGGTTAAGACGGACCTGAGATCGAGAGATGATGCTGGTCTAATAAAGATATTCAAATTTTCTAAGAGCATTTTCAAAGCATCCCCGACCACAGATAAATCTTCCTACAAGAATTTGGATAACTCCATACAAAGGGAAAAATTTTCCTCGCGCATGTTGGTTAGGCTGACCTCTGTATTTTGTTAACTATCTTAATATTCCTTCAAAGAATTTTCCAACTCTTCATTCCACCTCCGGGTAACCTCCAAGGATCAACTCGCTTAATTCAAAGCCACATTCTTATCAATTATCACTTTGACTACCCCCTTCACCCTTTCAATGAGATGACTAGAATAACCAAAGGTTATAAAGCAATTTCTGTTGCAAGTAACGAGTTAGATCACTAACCTCTTCTAGTCACCTATTCCTCTTAAGTGTAAGATCACCAACTTTCTTCATCAACCTTTCCCTTTCGTGAAAAAAATGATTAAGCAAAAAAAACACTTCTTGGCCAACAATACCAAAATCCAAAACACAAATGCTTGATGAACATGGTAGGCTAGTTCGGTCAATTCGCCTTGGCGAGCCTTGTTCGGAAGTCAAGAGAAATAAGAACAATCCTTGTGAGAAATCAAGGAACAAAACTCACTACCTGAAATTGGGGCAGGATAATCCAATACTACAGGGTTGATATCCCTATAAAGAAAATGTTGGTTCCCTCACAAATCTAAATCTTCGGAGACACTTGAGGGAAGAAACCTCATCTTATACCTCTTTAGACTTAGGAATGAGAGATAATATTTCCTCTCCTACCTGATCAAGGGAAGAGGAATTTTCTACCACCAAAGTGAGACCAGGGGAAGCCAAATTCACATCCCTGTCAATAGGAAGGACAACTTGAGTAACATGTCTAGCAACTAGAGCAGATGGGATGCCGGTAGGCATACCCAAAGTATAAACCTCATCGACGGATGGTGTGCTCGAAATTCCAACCAAGACAACGACAACTTGGGCCTCTTTTCAATTGCCGCATGGCGTCTTCACTCTTCATGACATCTGCAAAAAATGAGAATATTAGAGAAGATTAAAGAAAGCAAAAGAAAGACGAAACTCTAAGTCTGCATAAGAAAGATATTTTCCTCTCTTATTTAAATTTAGCATCCACGACCCAACGAGTTTTAATGCATGTCTTTAGTCAGGCCTTAGAAGAAAGATCGAAGGGAACCACCCCACCTACATAGCCAAGCTTCTGGAAAAAGGCACCAAATGGTCTTTCAAATATAATTCCTCTACAAACAAATCTTCTTCCTTGTAACGACACATCTCGGCTCTAGTAAGGAATTTACTCTAGGTTCAATACTTATGAGAAATATTTGTACATGAAGAAGGAGCATTAATATCTAACTTATAGATCTTAGGATGAGCTTCTCGATTGAGAGGACCCACTAAGGTAAAGTTGTCCTTAAAGTTTTTGACATTATCAGAATAGGGCTTAAAATATTTAGTGTTCTATCGCAAGGAGATTATGTCAGAACCATTCGTACATGAAGAAGAAACATCAATATCTAGCATGTGTATCTTTGAATGGGATTCACAATTGAGGGGAACCACTAAAAAAATCGATCTTTAAAGTTTTTTACACTATCAGAATAGGGCTCAAAATATTTAATGCTCTTCCACAAGGAGAATATGTTAGAACCATCCGCATATTTATAACCACTTTGCTCCTTGAAGAGATGAAAGAACAATGTCACTGTCAGCTTGCTGCTCTTATATTCACACTAGTGTTGAAATATTTTAACGTCCTCCGAACTCATATGGTGGAATTGCAAAGGGGAAATGAGCACATGGTTCAGAACACTGATTTCAAATTCATTAAAGGGGGAACAATAACCAATGAGGGAAAATAGACATTCCTAGAATGCGATAATACACTTAGCATATTGACCACAAACTCTTTGATCCTCATCCAGGGAAAGGACACATAAATCCTCAAGCAGACCGACATCGATCATAACATGAGTAAAGGCATCGTTATGGGAGAAGATGGAGACAACACATGATATATTTGAACTTACCCAAACTCTTGAAATGTCTCGTGCTAGTCCTCCTAGTTAACATAGAGGAAACAAACGTATATGCAGGAATCAAAGAGAAAATGCATGAATTAACTGGTATAACGAATAAATGTGAAACGCTAAGAAACCCTAAACACGACGGATAAAAGAAGAGGATGAAAAACTCAGACGCCAAAACACAAAAGCTCGAGTACAAAGACGATCACGTAAGAAACTAAACTGACAAATAAAATCTCTTAGATAGTTGATCAATCTTCACACCAAGAAAATCACCAGAGCAAATATAAGAAAGGAAAACGAGCTTCGAAAGAAAGTTAGCTTGCAATCAGTAAAAAGTGTAAAGTCCCTTTGGAAACCTATTACATCTCCTCAAATGATTCAAGGTTGTATGATCATTCCCCACTATCAACAATTGGAATTCCCTTGTGATTATTGGATTGATGTCTTGACATCTCCAATTAAATCATGTGGACAACTAACAAAGATATAAGGCACATGTTAGTCATGGTCAACCTCTTAAAGCGCCAAACATAAATGTTATCCCAAAGTTACATCTTCCCGAGAATATCAACGCCCCACCAGACCTCTCCCATGATGACCTTTATAGGTACACAAGATAAAACGCGAAGACAAGGGTTTGGAGGCAACTGTTTTGGACCAATCACCAAGACATAATATAACGCGAAGATTAATCTTAGTAAGGTGCGAAAATGGATGAAAAGAAAAAATATATTCTCAAAGATTCTCTCCCTATTCCATATGGGAACTCCTTTTACACCACCTATCTATCATGTGGTTGTTCCATAAAGTTGATTATGAGTCTTGATTGAAACAAATCTAATTAAATATGAATCTGATATGAATAAGAATTCAAATCTTGCTAAAACATATTCAAGTTGAATAATTTTCAAACGCGCTTTACAATCAAATCTTTGATTGAACATATAAGAAAACAATTTTTTGAAAGCGCGAGATACACTCCATTAAAACTTACGCGTTAAATAAACAACTTGAGATAAAATGTTTTGTACTCCCTCCGCCCCACAATGAGTGAATCATTTAGAATAAAAGAGTGTCCCAAAATGAAGGACTAATTTCAATTTTCAATGTATATTTTCTAAATTTACCCTCTAATTAATATTACTTTCAACATTCTCAAATACATGATAAATGTACTTCAGTAATAATATAATTCTCTCTTATTCGTTTTTTTTTTTAATTTGTGTAAAAAATCAACCGAATAATTTATTATGAGCCCGAGAGAATATATTGCCAAAAACATAACATGTTTATGCAAATGCGCCATATGTCATATTGGTTATGCAAATGCGCCATATGTCATATTGGTTAATAAGTTCCCTATCAAATATTTCAATCATATGTAACAACATTAATTAAATTCCATAAAATTTATGAAAATAATGATTAAGTTTATCCTATTAAAAATCTCAATTCAATAGAGTTAAAATTACGAAATTCCAATACATACAAAATCTAAATGTTTGACTAGAATGAAATTCACCATTGATTTGGAAGGAATATATTTAGGGTCCGAAACAACACTTACAATGTCAAGATTCAAAACAGTGAGTAGTTTACCGAAACGTGTACATCAAAAGAGCCACGTAAAAAGTACAAGATCAATAGTCAAATCACACATCTCTCTCTTTCTCTCTCAAGCCTTGAACTTTTCAGTTTCCACTTTCCCATTTCCTCATTCTCCTAACCTTCACTCACAAAAACACAATCCGATCTAGGGTTCATCACTTCCTCACTTCCAATGGACAAATCGAAGCTAGCTCTCTTCGGCGAGAGGCTGAAAACCAACAGCGCTAATCTGAGTCGAATCGTAAGCGGCAAAATGAAGGAAATACTCCAAACTCCGACGCCGGAATCGAAGATGGTCGACGAAGCGACATCGGAGACGTTGGAGGAACCGAATTGGGGAATGAATCTGAGGATATGCGGTCTTATCAACTCCGACGAGTTTAACGGTTCGGAAGTGGTGAAAGCGATCAAGAGGAGGATCAATCAGAAGAGTCCGGTTGTTCAGAAACATAGCCTTGATTTGTTGGAAACTTGTGCTATGAATTGTGAAAAGGTCTTTTCTGTAATTGCGTCTGAGAAGGTTCTGGAGGATATGGTTAGGTTGATTGATAATCCTCAGGCGGATCAGAATAATAGAACGAGGGCTTTACAGTTGATTAGGGCTTGGGGTGAATCGGAGGATATTGCTTATCTTCCTGTTTTCAGTCAAACTTATTTGGTTAGTTTCTTTCTTTCTTGCTTTGTTTTTTTCCTATGCCTCTTTTGTTGTAACATTACAGGGGTCAATTGGGTCCCCTGATTTACGATGGTCTCACCCAAAATTGTACTTGGACTCATTTAAATTTCAAGTAACAGGAAAGAGTGAGAAAGTGTGTCACAGCTTGTGTTGTGTTGCCAGCGTTTTATGACCTTATTATAGGCTGATCAATAATAGAGCTATATCTAAGTATGTGAGTTATGATCAAATTAAAGGAAAAGCATAGAGTTCACTTTAGTAGGTTACTAGTATAACTATGATAGATAGAGGATGTTCTATTTTAAGCTCTGTAGCCCCGACACCTCTCGAAAAAAAGTGTGTCGATTTCAGACACGGACACAAAGACCCTTTGTGACTGAATGACACTGACACTTGTTACGGATGTTGGTGTCGGTGTCATGTTTTTGATGTCCGTGCTTCGTAGACTTTAAGAGGTAAGCAAGTGTTAGATTAGATCTATTGTATCTATTATAGGCAATCTGATTTTGCACGGTTAGGCTTAGGCTACCCTATAAGGATGTTAAAATTAATTCACTTAAATAAGTACAAACAAGATGATAAATACAATCGATTGCATTTCTATTTTGGTTTCTCATACAACAAGGACTTAGAGTAGCTACTAGCTATGTAGATAAAGTCGTTTTCAGTGGTTTCTTTTTTTTTTTGGTTTTCCTTTATAGTTAATTATTAAGAGTATCCTTCATCAAGTAAAATTTCCTACAGGGATTTTTGTTGGGCTTATTCTGATATGGCAATTGGCAAATTATTGCATACACAACTCTACTAATTTTTATAGTTTTTAAGTTTTCTTGGATGTATTCCTAGTATTATTACTACTTGAGAATCAGTACCACATCTCAAGGCATTGTTTGTTTTTGACGACAACAACAGTAACAATAACAAACTTTTTTTTCCTTCACATTAGGTGGGATCAGTTATATGAACTTAATGTTCTGTCCTGTCCTTGTCACGAATCATGTTTTGCCTTATAGATAATTTAATTTCAATTCTTTCTTGATGGTTAGTTTGTTGTTTTGCTTGATTTTTTTCTGTCTCTAATTATTGAGCTATCTTCTATCTTCATCTGCCATATTTACCAATGACTTCTCAAGTTTCGACACATGCCCAAACCACAATAAGACCCACCATTTTTATTCCTGAGTCTGTTGTCTCGTACAACAAACAAGTAATATGTTGTTATGACTATATGGTAACTTTTTCTTTAATCTTAGTATCTTACTGTAAAAAGGTAATGTCTAGCGTAAATGATGTTGGAGCTTTTTAATTTTATCTACCTAGAAGCATGGTCCTTGATAGAACATTAAGACAAAAGTTGATCCATATAGCCGGCTCCACTTAGTGCGATAAGGCTTAGTTGTTGTTGTTGTTGTTGTTGTTGTTGCTACCTAGGTTGAATACTATGTTTATATTTTTCTATAGCTGTTACTTTTATGATGGATTCAAGGTACCTACTTGGAGTTTTGGCAGTGTAAGATTTCCAATTTTGCTTCCAAGCTGGTCTTAAGGTGTTTCTAGATGAATTGGCATTCTATATGCTCCATTTTACTTTATCTCTCAAATATTTGAAATGACATAGGTTCCAAAAAACCCTTGATTGAAATTTGGATAAGAAAGTTTCATCCAAGGGTATTAACCGATTGGGCCATTTGTGCCCTAAGGGCTTAAGGGCACATGTTGCGCATTTCAATGATAGAAATTTTCTGTTGGAAAAGACACTTTTTAAGCTTTTAAAGAATTGAATGCTCAATTTACACAATTGATTTCTACATTTGATTGTTTAACACGTGCCTTTAGGGAACAAGTTAATGTTTTCCTGATAGTTTATAGGAAGCAAATATCACTGACCTGAAATTGTCTTTGAATGGTAACTTAATTGGTTTTGGTTAGGGCAGAAGTTAACATTTTCCTGATAGTTTAAAGGAAGCAAATATCACTGGCCTTAAATTGTCTTTGAATGGTAACTTAATTGGTTTTGGTACTTGATTTTATTGTTATATATAGCTTCTAGACATTGTTTTTGGTGCCTTCTATTTTTTTTTAATGACATATTCTTGTGATTCCTTTTCTTTTTCATTAATTTGAATCCTACTTCCTCTTTCGTTGATGACAGAGTTTGAAAGGAAGGGGTGAATCACTTGACGCGGCAGGAGGAAATTCACCACCAATTCCGTATGCCTCAGAGTCACATACTTATCAACAATCTTTAAACCCCCCTGAAAGATACCCAATTCCAGAAGCAGGATTACATGCTCTTGCTCTAGATGACTCAGAAGCTTTCTTTGCTGACCACCAACCCGTTTCTGTTGAAGAAAAGAAAGAGCATCTTGTGGTAGCTCGAAACAGTCTTGAAGTTCTGTCTAGCATATTAAATTCTGAGGCAGAGCCAAAACCTTTAAAGGTAATCCTTTTCTGAAATTAAGTAAATGCAGCATCTCTTAAATACTGAATTGTTGTTTTGTTTTCTGATAGATTGTACAAAATTTTTGTTTGGTTGCAGGAAGAATTAACTTTGAGTCTGCTGGATAAGTGCAAGCAATCACTCTATGTTATCAAGGAGATTGTGCAAAGCACAACAAATGATGAAGAAACACTTTTTGAGGCTTTATATCTCAATGATGAGCTGCAGCAGTTGGTTTCTAAGTATGAGGAGTTGGAAGCTTCTCAAAGTTTAGGGGAACAACAAACACAAAATGCTGACACTGTCAAGCATGATGCGGAAACTGTTCAAAACCTTGATGAAAGACGTGAAGGTGACAAATCTGAAGAGTCAGAAGCTGCTCAGAATTTTGATCGAAAACTGCCCCAAAAGTCAAACCCTATTGAAGCCGATGTCAATGCAACCGAGGGGCATGGTCACGTTGAAACCAAAATTGTGGATAGCACAAAAGAGAAGAATGATGAACCTATCCTCAAGAGTAATACCGAATGAGAAAGGCGAAGGTTGCAAGTTTCTTTGTTTCTTCTAGCATTATATTTTGTTGTCCATACCGTGTAGGCATGTAATATTTATAACCCATAGTTCTTTCTACGAGGGTGATTATATCCCGAGGATTGTAATACTTAAATCCTTGTGAGATTATGGTAGTTCATAAAAGTGTTAATGTGGTCTTTTTCTTGTAAGTGCACTCATTTTGACTGTGTGCATCAATTTGATAATGTTTGATGAGACTCTGATACAGAATTGGGCACGAGGTATACGAGACTCTTCCTTTTCTTTAGAAACCCTGTTATTGTAGATCTTTTGCAGAAGTTGTATTCCCTTTCTTTGTTAAAGAAAAAAAAATGGTCTGGTACTACAACACACTTCAGTGTAGGGAATGTAAAGCATTTGGTGGCCTTCTGGTTAGACTCCATCTTTGGCTTGAACAGTTGGTGGTTTTTTCAGGCACAAGAATTTTTGGGGTTAAATAAAGTTTCTTCCTATCTTCAAATTAAAATTCATCACAGTAAAACAACACCAATACTATGATAATACTTGTATTATTGTATTGCAATTGGTTTTGGACAATGATTGTGAATACCGGGAATGGGAAAGAGAAGGAGGGTGGTTTATGGGATTTGGAAGCTTTTGATTAGGAGGAAACAAGTTGATTCTGTTCATTAAAGGGAATAAATTATGACAATTGTTTGAGTTACATTGGTAAGAGCAAGCTATGTCATTGTGACATCTGTAAGTTATATATCTTCTCTCCTTTGGGTTACTAAACTTTTATGATAGGTGATTGTAGTTTTTTAGCTGGCCAATCATAGTTAGTAAGCTAGCCTTAGTTCGTTGAAGGGGTTAGGATGTGATATTATAAAAAGGGATAGAGAAGAAAATTAGAGGAATCTAGAAATAAGTCAGAACTGGGAGAGTTGAAGTCACTCTCGAAGGAGGCCTAGGATTGTATTCTGTATTATTCCCTCAAGGTCACATAGACTTTTCCCAATAATATTCACATTGTCTTCATCTATTATTTCTAGATACTAGTTGGATCAATCATTTAGTTCACATTAACATTTGCCCATTGAGAAAATATGTTGTACTAATGTGTATATAGATGGGTTTACTACTCCAATATTCTTTTTACTTAAATAAAATTGTAGTGATATATTTGTGAAAATTTTAAATATGGGTGATTCGCGGGTCTCTCTGTCTCACGAAGTATTGGTCATATGGTACTTTTGCATCGCAACACTTAAGAAAGACTTATACAATACTATTGTCCAGTCACTAAGTCACTAACCACCTGGAGAAAATCATACCATGACTTCTTAAAAATTAGGTAATCAATAGTCTCCTCCAGTCAAGGAGGAACACTTATCATTTCTTAGGGTTTCTTAAACCTTAGGTTCAAGGTGCATTTATAAATATCTCTAGCCTAACGGGAGGAACAATAGTCATTATGTATGACTGAGGGATTTTTAAAAAGTCAGATGCTGAAATTTTGAGTCTGTCTTATCTTAGTGAGAGTAATATAGTTCATCGCGAAGGACCCTTTATATAAGACGTTCTGAGAATTGTGGTATGTAAAACGGAAGGGAGAACTCCGGGCGTCGAAATTTCAAAATTTCTGAACCTCGATGCCAATCTGTATGACTGAAGGTTTGTTGAAAAGTGGGATGCGAAAATTTTGAGTCTGTCTTATCCCAGTGAGGATAATAGTCTGTCGAGAAAGACTATTTCTATAGGAAGTCCTGAGAATTGTGGTATTTGAAGCGGAAAGGATCCTCCGGGCATTAGAACTTTGAAATTTCTAAACCTCCACGCCATTCTGTATGACCCAGAGGTTTTTGATAAATCGAATCTATAAATTTTGAGCTTATCCCATTGAGGGTAATAGTCTGCTGAGAAGAACCCTTTCTGTAGGAAGTCTAGAGAATTGTGGTATGTGAAACAGAAGGGAGACCTTCGAGCGTCGGAACTTCGAAATTTCTAAATCTCCACACCATTCTATAGACTGAAAGGTTGTTGAAATGTCGGATGTGGAAATTTTGAGTTTATTTTATCCCAGTGAGAGTAATAGTCCGTTAGGAAAGACCCTTTCTATAGGAAGTCCTGATTGTGGCATGTGAATTAGAAGGAGGGGTATTCGGGCGTCGTAACCTTGAAATTTATGAACTTCCACCCCATTCTGTACGACTGAGAGGTGTTTGAAAAGTCAGATGCGAAAATTTTGATTCTTTTTTTTATCCCAATGAGGATAATAATCTGTCAGGAATGACTTTTTCTATAGGAAGTTCCGAGAATTATGGGATGGGAAGAAGAAGTTGGACGTCAGAACTTTTAAATTTCTGAACCTCCACGCCATTCTGTACGATTGAGAGGTTGTTGAAAAGTCAGACGTGAAAATTTTGAGCATGTCTTATCCCATTGAGGGTAATAGTCAACTGTGAATGACCCTTTTCTAAAGGAAATCCTTAGAATTTCGGTATGTGACGTGGAAGGCGGCGAGCCTCTGGATGTCGGAACTTTGAAATTTATGAACTTCCATGCAATTCTGTACGACTAAGAGGTTGTTGAAAATTCGGATGTTGAAATTTCGAGCCTGTCTTATCCTTGTGAGAGTAATAGTCCGTCAGGAAGGTCCATTTCTATAGGAAGTCATGAGAATTACGGTATGAAAAGCAGAAGGAGGGCCTCTTGGTGTCAGAACTTTGAAATTTTTGAACCTCCACGACATTTCATATGATTGAGAGGTTGTTGAAAAGTTTGATGTGGAAATTTCAAGTCCATCTTATCCCAATGAGGGTAATAGTTCGGCAGGAAGAACCCTTTTTAATTGTCCTAAATGTTATAATTATATATTGGTTGTGACTACAAGAAGAATGAAACTTGAATTGTTTTTGGATCATTTAGGTAATAATGTGTTGTTTGACGAAGTGTTGTTAACGTCTGCAGATTCTTGGAAGGATCGGGAAAAGAGAAGGAAAACATTGGTAAAAGATTGGAGTTTGAAGTTTGATGTTGTTATGATTGTCAAAGCATTGAGATAATTTGGTTGTTTTATGATACATTGTTTCATCTTGAATTGGGATAATTTTTATCCACATTTTGAGTTAGTTTGGTTTTCTTAAGTGAAGGACGGGTATACCATTTTAAACAAAGTATCACTACTGATATGTGGGTACACCGTTTTGACTCTATGATTTATTAACACTTTACAAGTGTGATTTTCTTATGTTTATAAACAAGAGAATTTCTTTTTAATGTTTTTTCTTCTATAATTTTGGATAATTTGGTCAATTTTTCATTTTTTTAATAATTAGGTTATATTTTGTATAATCTGATTGTTTACTATGTGTTTTGACCTTTCTGACAAAATTCAAAACTAATTACTATACGACCCATGCACTTAAATGTTTTATTTTCCAATAACTCATAAAGATAATGATATTTTAAGCATGGGTTTAACATACCTATGTGATATGGTTATGTACAACTGACTTGAGCTCTTATATTCACATTCTCCTTCTTCATAAGTTGACTTGATCTCTAATCAACATGTTGCATACTCACCTATGTTAATTCAAAATGCAACAAAATTTAGTGATATCAAATTCAAATCATAGGCTCAACATGATTATTTAGTATTATATAAATTACATGTTTCTTGATCAAATTCAAATCATATTTCTTGATGGATAACACTTACATGTTTATTATTACCTTAGATAAATTATAGTAAAAAAGAACAAGTTTCAATTGAGACTAAATTTTTTACATAATTTAACTTAAATACAGAGTATTATCTATGAAATCGTTCTATAACAGTTAATGTACTAGAGATTATCTCTAATTTATAGGCATGTGTTTCTTATGCTATGTCCTTGCACCCCACACAGAGCAAGCACCCGTGCTTGTTAATACCACCCGTTAACTCTGTTTTGTTTATCCATGCAAGCCCTTCTTAAGTGTGTTTTCATGGTCAAACTCTTTTTGAACACTGAGTATGTTGATAAAGATGAACAATATCATTTGAAGTATGATATGCAAGAAGTAGATAGTTGAGTGGTTGTAACATCCATGCAAACCTCATGAACAATACTAACTAAATGCACATTGCTGCACTAATTAAAAAAATGTGATGAAATAATTAATTTACATACCAATAAGTTAAAAAGAAATTCAACATTTCATGAAAGTAGAGAGGCGAACCTCCAGTCATGTTGCCAAAGATCATTTCAGGAGGTTTATTGTTATCATTCAAACCCTTTAATATAAAAAAGTTTGGCATGTTAGCTTAAAATGTGTGTTAACAACAAAAATAGATGGTCGTACGAGTGAAACCCACAAAGGGGTGATTCCCCAGTTGACAACAGGTTCCCAAAAGTGATATGTTTTAGGGCCAACTAGATTGTTCCAAAATGCTTTGCAGGTAGGCATATGATACCACTTCTACTAGATTATCATTACTAAATTGTATAATTTTAACAAAGTAAAAGATCTTAATATCACAAATTTTCTGATATGTTAAAACAAATATTTTGTACAAAATCAAAATAGTAAGACTACACCAATTCACACAGCAAAAAAACTAATCTGCTATTCCACTCATAAATAGAGGAGGGGAAATATTGTACAACAATCGCATACCAATAAAGTTAAGTCTTACATAGTACACTAAATAATCTGTTGGTTATTATTCTTAACAAAATATTTAATCTAAAAAAAGCAAAACAAAAACAATAATAAAACTTTATTCTATTAAGTGGAATCAACTATATGAATTAATTATGGTTTGTTTATCCATGCAAGCCCTTCTTCAGTTTGTGTTTTCTAGTTCAAACTCTTTTTGAGTAAGCTATTTGTAACCATTACTTAACTGTATGATATTTGAAGAATAAATCATTAAAATCAATCACAATAACACAACTTAAATTTGAATAATATCACTATATAAATTTTAGTTTATGCAATTGAAACGCAAACAATTAATTTGAAACCTA